TGTTACAGTCTGTGACCCATAGAAATAATTTAGAATAATAGAATAATTTCTATGCTGTGACCATAAGAAAAAATTCTATACCGTTGAGTTGCACGCCCTGGATAAAATATTGGCGGAAAATTTAAAAAGAACACAAAAAATAAAATAAGTAAAAATAGATAACAAATATGTAAAAATATACTGACAAATTAAAAAATATGTAACAAAAGTATAAAAAGGTAGTTTAAAGCAAAAACCTCCAAAAAAGGTAAAAAAGGTGAAAACTAGTTAAAAAAAAATAGGTAAGAAAAGTATAAAAAAGGTAGTTTAAAGCAAAAACCTCCAAAAAAGGTAAAAAAAGGTGAAAACAAGTTAGGTTCATATAAAAGAAAATCTTTTAAAACACATTTTGGCATTATTGGTTTTCAAATAGTTACATCGGTTGAAAAAAGGTAAAATAACTAAAATCCCATCCCTATAGGGATTATAATGATGACCAACTTGGGAATATGTATTACCGGCGCGGCGGTGAAAATGTCAAATTTGGATGTGTACCTACATCGAAATGTATCCCTTGAAAATTGACCGTTTAATCCAATATAGAAGCAGTTTTTCACACTAAAACTAAAGAAAATATTTTATTGGCACTCAACGGTGGAGTCACCACCCGAATAAAGAAATAAATTGCATACAGTCCCTGCAAAATATTAATTTTGCCTATTAGATAAAATATACAAATTGTAAACATTTAAATTCAGTAAAAAATATAAAACAAATAAGTCGCGACTTATTTGCATTTAGACTAGGGTTGCCATACGTCCCGGTACACCGAGACATGTCACCAGTATCAAGAGCTTTGTCCCGGTGTCCCGGTTCGGGCTTCAAATGTCCCGGTCTGATGCCACCAGCTACCTAACTTCATAATATATCAAAATTCTAGAACTTTTTTTTGCAATTACTCATTGTTGTGAAGCGAGTAGTGGAAGATAAACGAGAGCGCACAGAACATAAGACGCTTTGTTAAACAGAGCTATCAGATTGTTGGTTATTTTTTACTTTACGACAAAATTAAAAGAGACCCTCAATTTACTGATACCATAAAATTATTTGACGGTGAAATTAAGGATTATTATAAAACAGCATTGGAATATTTACGACAGTGGAGTGCTCCTCTCGTCAAAGTCAATGTTTTTTCATGGATGACCAGAATGGGAAGAATTTGAAAAAACTATATCCTATTTACAAGAAAAAGGTATAACCATCAATGATTGTTGTTTTGAAGAAGTATTGTACTTGAAAGATTTCATTACTAAATTAGAACATGATCCGGTCTGGAATGCTAAATCTATGCATGATAAATGGTTGTTCTTTTTTCAGCAAACTGGTATTAAAGAGCAAAAGGCAAATTTACTTTTGATGTGCCAATATAAATAGATTAGATATGTTCCTGGCCATAATGCAGGTGTTGACAGAATTTTCTCTTTGTTAGTTTCACAGTGGACCAAAGAGCGAAATATGCTTTCTTTAAAAACTGTTGAAAGTATAATGTTTTGCAAAGTAAATTATAACATCACCTGTTCAGAATTTTACCTATAGGTATGTGAAAAGTCAACCGGAACTACTAAGGCAAGTAAGCAAATCTGAAAAAAAAGATTGGCATGCGAAAGAAAAATGATTAGTGAGATTTTGTTTAAACCAAAGAGTTTGGTAATTTTTTAAGTTTCTTATTATTTAACAAAAAAAATTAATTAGTTGAGTATTTTTTTCACATTTTATGTCAAAACAAAACTAAACTTTTTCGAACCCACCATTATTATATATTTTCACTAATCCTAACTTATTTGTCGATTGTTATGGTCATTTTTACAAAAATGTCCCGGTGACCGATAATCCGCTTATGGCAACCCTAATTTAGACGCGTCTAAATGCAAACTGCAGCATGCATGTATTGTAATGGTACGATATATGGGGCAGTTAATTTTTAACATTTGGTAGTTTAAGTTTTTAAGCTTTATGAAATATGATATTAAATTTTAAATATTTGTTTTAAAATTGTATTAGGTGTTAGGTGTAAGTTTCACTTTAGAATTCCATACATTCTTTATTTGTTTATTATACAATAATAATTTATGAGTCCCATCTGGACGACCACTTGAGGGTTCGAGACAGAAAGACCAAATAAGCAAGTACCCAGGCAACACAGGGTCGTAGAAATCACGTAGAATCGTCGACGAATTGGGTCGAATTTGGTCGAAGTTACATTTCAACCATTTTTCGACGTCTCAAAATTCACCAAAACACGACCAATTATTAACTTAGGTCGATGATAACCAATAAATGACGTCATTATCACGTGAACAGATGACGAAATGTTTAAGAAAATATGAAAATATAGTGATAATTAATAAGAAACAGTTTGCCTGTTTTAATGGGCCGACAAAAAGTTTTGGAATATTTTTAAAAACAAAAATTAATATTTTTATTTAATTTACGTCATTTCGACGGAGAATCAACGTGCAATATTTTATTAAAATAATTTTAAACATTATTTGGTTTTAAACTAATTAAGATAGATTAATAATTATTGATCAATAGATTTTTTAAAACAAATTCGCGATTTTTAAATCCTTTATCATTTTATCACAAAATAAGAAATTAACATGCTACTGCAGTTGACAATCACAATTTTAGTAAAATTATTTATCTACAGTGTTGCCAGATGTTTTATAATTTTCTTTTTTAAAATAGTAAAATTTAAATAATAATCGATAATTGTAACATAATTTAATCCGCCGCGTAGTTTTGCTTGTTTTTATACAATTTTTGTTTTGATAATTTTATATAATTTTCTGTAAATTTGATCATTTTGTCAACCCTCTTATTATATTATAATATTAATTTTTACACCTGGCAACCCTGTTTCTCTTTGGCCTTGGGTAAGTTGGCACTACTTACAAAGCGAGGGAACGTTTATTCCTAAAAAACAATATGGTTGATTCAAGCGTCCAACTTTTATAATCTGTGGCATTTATACATAGAACAAACCATTTATACTGATAATACTTTGGCTGTGTCAGGTAGGTCAATTTTTGTTTGTTTATTAATGTTTTAATTACTCAGTATATTCCGTAACGAAGTCATAACACCTAAATGAAGTACCTACATAAGCTCCTAAAATATTGACCTGTCATCTGTCTTAAAATTTAATGTGTTTGATTTTATAATAAATGTTTTGAGCAACTTAAAACATGTTTTATTAATTAATAATCCAAAAGCCCTTTATGCACTGGTAAAAATAATTATTTATTCTTATATCCGATATTTTAATGCCAGATATATGCCAGACATATGTATGTGTTTCTGCAAAGATTAACTAACAATTTTTTTTTGATATTCTACTTTTTTACATACATTTATTTTGATTATTAATTATTTACTAAATATATATCTACTATAGTAGTATATATATATACTATATATAGTAGGGTTTACCTATTTATTTCTTAAAATTTAAAAGTACAACTAAACATTTTTTGTTTTTTTAATTTTGCAAAATCACATTTCGCATTGAAACATCTGATATCAGTATCGGTAATTATTTTTATGTGTATGACCTAATCATATATTATTCAAGAAATATTACGTGATTATTCACGTCAAATTACGTAAATAATTACGTAATATTACGTGATTTTACACGTGAAATCGCTGTGACATATTGTCGTCAATTTTACGACGATAAGACGTGTCTAAGTTGGTGACTTCGACGTCACCGTAGACGTAAATTAAACGTGATATTCACGTCACTGTGTTGCCTGGGTATTGGTTCTTGTTCCTATAGGACTATAGTCTTAAAAACAAACATAAAAAGAGCGTGTTATAAACCTAGAGGATTCAGTATTTTTTAGACAGTTGGGTTTTGCTATTTAAAGAGAGAGTTAAGTTTTACTATTTGAAGCGACGCGTCGCGACGAGTTGAATTCTTTAATTTTATAAGGGAGTGAATTTAACAAATAATACATTGTTTTTATATAAATTCAGTTTTTGTGATAGTTTTGTTCATTTAAATAGGTATTTCTTTTCTATATTTAGTTATTATAATCTAAGGTCACAAATATCATAATGAGTGGTTAATTATTTAATATTTAATTTTATTATTATTTCAACTTGTTCTCTGTGAGAGAAAGAATAAGCTGAATTAAAAAGACGAGTGTATACACTATAGTGTATACAATCGTCTTTTTAATTCAGCTTATTCTTTCTCTTATAATACTAGACTACTTCATTATTTCAAAGTAAAAACGAGAAAAAATATTTGTATCTACTCCTATTGCATAATTTTGGTGTTTTTCCGTGAATATTGTTAAGCATTATAAATTTCCTGCCTAACAACGTGAATAATAAACTCAGTATTTACGTTGCAACGTGAATACTGAGTTTATTATTCAAATCAAATCGGATGGACCAATGAATGATAATTTTTTAAAAAACCGTTTTTTGATAAGGGGGCCCCCTCGAGGCTAGCTACGCCACTGAATATCATAGTCACTTGTAAATAAAACCGATTTACCTACCATCATTGCTGATTATTTCCCTACATATATGTAGGGAAATAATCAGCAATGATTAAATGTATACATTTAAAAATAATATGGATTCGGTTACGGTTCCTTTCCACAAATATATACCGGTTCCTGTACGGTTTTCTGTCCAAAAACGGTCCGGTCCGGGTCCCTGTTGAAAATCACTTGTTTTTTTTATACAAACATACTTATTATGTTAAGTTTGGCAATGTCCTAACTTTTAGCGGACCACCGCGAATAACTAAAATATGTAGTTACATACACGACATTTGTGAAAGAAAAGTTCAAAAAAAAAATTAAAAGATAATAATAGTAATTATTAGTACCTAGAGACTCTGTTATTAGTATTACAAATTATTTGTAGTGTATGATTATAAAATAACGTGCATGGAAACTTTACACCAAAGCTTTCTGTTGGCAACACGTTTTTAAAAGCGCATGCGTATATTTTCAGATGCACAAACTGCGACACGCTGTTGCTAAAATACCGCTTTGTTTTTGTGATTTTTCAGCAAAAACTGGCTATTAATTGATTGATGCACTAAGAATCAAAGATCCATGGCAAAACAGTCTAATAACGAGTAAGTATAGATTAATTTAATATTACACTTGGTTAAAACAACATTGTTAAAGCGTTGGTTTTGTGTGTTTTTTTTGCAATTTACAGAACTGGGCCGGTATTGAAAAGCAACCAACTACCTATTTAATTTTCGGTAATTTTGATTAAAACAAACGCATTTTTTAATGTTAGTGTGTTTATAACTGCTTGGTTGCTTTTTTTAGAGTGTAGTATGGACATAGTGGGTTGGTTGCTTTTTACATAACAGGGCCCAACTTTAGCCATACTTTTAATATAAATAGGATAAGAGGAATAATCCTGATTATTACTTAACTTAGGTAATACACAGCAGGAATTTATGTTTTGTGTTTGACACTTTGTACCTTTAAGGTGGTTTATTACAGTGGGTGGTTTGAATAATTGATGATATATTTTTGTTCACCTTTTTTTTATAATAAAGTACAGTCTAGAGATCCCCTCTAATGCAAGGTCTGTTCAGATTCAGAACTTCAGAATAACATCTGACATTGAAAATAACAATGGCAATGCAGTTACCGATATTGGGCCTTGATTGAAAATTTTGTATGCATTGCTATACAAAACAGACCGAACATGTGGGTTTCAGCCAAATAGACCACTTGTCATACAGCTTTACTTACTATGGATCTTTTGGGATGCAAATAATTCTGTTAATATCTACAATAAATTGGCTTGTCTAATCTTCAGAACTGACGGCTGCTGACTATTTCTTGTGGGGTGATCTAAAAGTTGTATTTATACAATCCCTGAAAAACTTTTAAACTAAAGGACAATATTAACATTGAAAATTCCTTAGAAAAGACACATCTTTGTGAAGCAGAGAATAGCTGATATTAAAATGATATTCTTCATAAAAAGTGTAATAAAATCTCCGGGCTTGGTAGTTACTTTATTATGAAAAGAAGAAGTTATCAACTATTCAAACTACAATATTATAAAATTGTTGTTTATGCATAATTAAAACCTTATGGTTTGTTTTTTTCAGATCAAGTTGTGTTATATTGCACGGCTTTGATCCTGTCTTAACAAGAGTAAGAAAATTTATGCACGTAGATGTTATTTTAGATTTATTTCTTTTTACAGGGGTTTGGGTTAATAAGTACTATAACTTTAACTGAAAGGTGGTAAAACACTAATGGTAATATTATGGCATCAGAGAAACAAAAGTTCTAAAAATGCTTTATTTCCAAGTTAAAAAAAAGTTTAATATTTTGTTCTGGTTTAGAAGAAAATGTTATACCTATTATTCAAATCAGTAGGCAACTTTTGTTAAACAAAAAATAATTATAATAATTTACATTATTGTAAAAATGAGCAGTTTACAATCAAAAACCTTTTTATGAATTTAAAATAAACAAAACATTTTAATAAAATTATAAACATTTACAACCTGATGCAAGATCAAAAAAATATATTAAGAACTTCCATGACCATACCCAATCTCACTGTTGTTTTTCTATGCCTATAATATATATTATTTTTATAGTTATAATACATACATCCTGTCAGGGTTAGAAACATGTTTTTTATTTAAACAAGTTTTTTTTAAACAGTTTATTAAAAACGTACCTACCTTTGTTATATTCTTTGATTTTAAACACTGGTTTAAACTCTTTAAAACGTTTGTTTAAAACATTTTGTTTTAAACCTCTTGTCCAAAATGGACATGTTTAAAAAAAACCTTTAAATAACCATAACTATGTTTTTTAAATGGAATGATATATTTATTGTGGCACCATTAATTTTGTCACCAATTTTTTTTTAATTTGAGTACAATAAGTTATATTAAGATATCGTTTAAAACATAGTTTTAAACATGCCAACCCTGCCTCCTGTAAATAAAAAAAAGTTTACCTTAGACCATTGTTTCTCAACCTTGGGGTCGCGTATAGGAATATGGGGAATAGCAATGTATTCAAAATATAAGACCCGTTTACAAAACATCCTTTTATTAAAGTATTAGAAAATTATAACCAGTTCCATAATCTTGAGTGTGATACTATACTTTATCTACTTCAATAGGTAGATAATGATTTTCAAAAATAAATAAATATAATCTGACATCTGTCAAATGGTTAACCTCAATTTTTACCAATTTTAAATCAATTTTTACCAATTTTAAATGTTATTATAGTGACCTTCCAATTTAAATCCCAGTGAATAGTGAAATTGGCCAATCACTGATGCCTAACAACGTGAATAATGAGTTCATTATTCCCGTTGTTAGGCAGGAAATTTAAAATGTTTATCGTTATTCACGAAAAAATATATTATACAATAAGAGTGGATAAAAGAAATTAACTTTCTATTGTTTCACAAATTACAAAGTTAGAAAAAAATGCCATAAAATGAAGTAGAGCCAATCTTAAGATATCGCACTCGACATTTTATTTTTTTAGTGCAGGTGTTATTTATTATTTACCTACATTGATTCCAAAAATTATTAGAAAATTATGGACATTTTGTGAACAAAACTCTAAAACTAGAATTTTTAACTTAGGACGAGGAAGTTTTTTGCTTATGCAAGAAAGCTTCTCGTATATGGTGGCTTTAAAAATTAAATATAAAAATTTAAGTCTAAAAAGCCTTAGTTTTGAAGGAAAGATTTCAATTCGCGACATTATTGTTTAAAGCTCGATTTCTATGAAAAATATTCGAGCTTTAAACAACAATGTAGATGAAAATTCCGCGTTTCAAATTTTTAAACGACTCTCCTTCAAAATCAGGTTTTTAAACAACCCACTGTAGCTCTCAGATTTGCTTGTCTTTGCAGTGAAAAACAAAATCACCGTCGCACTAAATTATTATTTCAAATATCTTTGGCTATTACTATATTTTAAATAATCCTAGCATTGTTATAATTAGGAGTAATCGTCGAAATTTAAAATTTTATAAAATTTTCGATGTTTCCCAATATTTATTTAAATCAATGTTAATTTTAAATATTTTTAATCGTCAAATAAACATATTGTAGTAAGGAGGTCGCAATATTTTTTACTGTGCTTTTTGGCTACTTAGTGGGGCGCAACACTTTAAGGTTAAGAAACGATGTATTAAACCATTAACTAATGTACATAGATCACTTATTTTTTCACTATGAAGGTCATTAACCATTAGTATTCACTGCTTAATTTTTCGAAAGAAATTTATATCATTTTAGTTCCTTATTCTTAAAACAAAAATTAAATACATAATTATTATTTTACAATTTACAGCAAGAGATTATAGAAGAGTTATCAACATATGGAGATATTTATAAGGTATACATACCTGAAGAAAAGGATTACGCAAAAATCTACTTTAGCTCAATACGGTAAATTTTTATTGGTTTTAGAATTAGGATGCAAATTCAATGTTTTTTTTTATATATTTTAGACAAGCTTTAAGTGCAGTAAAGTATCAATCAAAAAGAAAACCTAATTGGAAACTACAACTTTTTAATACATAGTAAGTAAAAAACAATTTTAAACAATTTAAAAAATTCTAAATTGTATGTTTTTATAGCCAGGAAATGCAAGCCATGGATTACTGTGAAGAAGTAGATGACTTGGTGTTAAATTCAGACTATGTCGATATTCACGGCAGGAATTTAGACGTTTTAGAAGGGTTACAAGGGGAAATATTTATCTCATTGAAAGAGATCAAGCAAACTGGTTTTGCTATTTTTAGAAGGGAAAATTTTGAACCTACTCTTAGAAATACTAAGTGAGTATTCATAAGAAACAATCTTTTAGTTAAAACCATTTGAAATGATTTTTAATAAACTTTTTGGACAATAAAAGTACTAAAACGTTCCAAAATTTTATAGGAAATCTTATATTTTGTATTATTTTTTACCATTTTAGAAGTTATATTTTAGTTACAATGGACATTCATTTATTTTTCTTGGGGTGACTTGCCAATAAAAAAAGTATTTGAATTGAATGATCTATTAGAATACACCTAATAAATTGGTTATTACCTATATAATATATAATTTATTAAAAACTTAATGTTTTTTTCAGTCAAATCTTAAGGGAATTTGAAATGCATCTGCTGTCTGAAGCCAAAAAGTTTTTATTGCAAAATCATGTTGTTACCATTGGACAAGAACAAATTTTGGAAACCATTAGAAAGTAAGTTAAAACTTTTAGATATTTAAAAAATATGAAATACAATGTAAATTTATAAACCAATTGACTATATTTCTCTGTAACTAGACAATTTAAAATTACAATTTAGTAGTTTTGTATCGACAAATTCTCAGAATAAATGTATAAGGGTGATTCCAACAAAAAATTAAAAAAATAACTTTTTAAAAATATAAATAAAAGGTTTTTTTTAAAACCAAGTATACTTTTATGTAGTTACAAAGTCGGTTTAATTAGATAAAAGTTGCGTAATAATAAGTAAAAAACTGAAAACCTGCCTTTAGAACTTTGAATTTAAAAAAAAATAAGTTTTATACGTAAACATACATTCATTTACATTTTTATCCAATAAGTGATTTTTTTTTGCCTACTAGATTTTGAGTTACCACCTCCATCTTTTGTTTTTTATGACCGCAATTTTGAAATTTTACATGCTTGGATAGAAAAAAAGACAAGAAAGTTAACTATGTATCAAACTTACCACATAAGTTATGATGGCGATTATTGAAACAAGATGATGGTAACTCAAAATATAAAAGAAGAAATCTGATGAAAATTTGGGTGTGGTACTATGCTTGCAGGTTTAATAAATCATTACTTATAAATGATGGTAGCCCTTAATTTTACCTTTTCTCCGAAATCACCATATTATATATATATGATAGAATATATACAGCCCGTTCAGAGTAAAACCGAATATAGGGAAACGTTTTGGGCGTGGCTTGCAGGTTTAATAAATCATTACTTATAAATGATGGTAGCCCTTAATTTTACCTTTTCTCCGAAATCACCATATTATATATATATGATAGAATATATACAGCCCGTTCAGAGTAAAACCGAATATAGGGAAACGTTTTGGGCGTGGCCTCGCCTCCCTCCAACGCGCGTCACAGTAGCTTGTGTGATAAACGACATGACGAAAGGTCGAGCAGGTAAGACGACCTTAAAAATTAAATGATAATAATGCAAAAAATCTTATTAGTGATGCAGGCTATTTGCTTAGCTGCTGCGTCGCGCGTTGGAGGGAGGCGAGGCCACGCCCTTTACGTTTCCCTATATTCGGTTTTACTCTGAACGGGCTGTATGATATACGAATTACAAATATTACTAATAAAGACGTTTTTATGACAAAAAAACATTAAAACCTTTGTTGTATTAAACATATTTAATTTTGCTAAAACATTTTTAGTTTTGTACTTGAAACTTCACAATGTAAAAAATTGTAAAAAATATCCAATCAAAACTAGCAATTAAAAATAATTTAAAATAATTTGATATATGAATAAAAATTAAAAATATATTTTTTCAGTAAGTTAGTAAATAAAAAAACAATAATAATAAAGAATCGATTTATTCGTGGATTTACCAAAATGCGGAGGAAATTCGCTGGTGTATCTCGTTTTTTGTGATAAGCAATGAGAAAAATGTTACCTAAAAGTATTAACCTTTATTAGTTTATAAACACATTTTTGCTTAGCATAAAAAACCAGATACGCACATACGTATTTTCAACGGCGACTTTATTCAGACAAAATCGTAAAGAAAAGTACAAGTTTGTACAAGACAATATGACAGTACTACTTAGTAATGTTAATTTTAAAAAGTTAGTATTTTAAAGTATTGTTTCCATGTAGGTTTCATTGCAATTTTCCTGCTTGAGAAATGTTACTATAGTTGAATTTTTAAGTCATGAACCCTACGGTAACAATGTGTAAAGCAACTGTTGGGGTATTATTAGACATACGTTTATTTATCGCTATATGCTACGTCCCAGCGCTCCTGCGGCGTGGAAATACAATACGAATGTCTGTCTGCATATGTCACGTGAGGGTCATGGTTGAAAAACCCAACGATTTTGTTACTCAGATGGCATTATACAAGGTGTCCCTAAACTTAGTGGCATAAATTTAGGAGCAGATTAAGCAAGTCAAAATAAGACGAAAATCTAAATAAATATTTTTCCTAATTACGTATGTTTAAAAGTTACAGGGTGATAAAGTGTTACTTAGGTTAGGTTTTTATACCATTTGATGCAATTTTTCGATTACTCAGTTCGGCTACTATTAAAAAGGTGTACCTCTCAAACTTCGATAAAATTAACCGTTCTCGAGATATTCGAGATTACAATAATTGTTACATCGCATTAAAGGACTAAAAGTTATATGAAAAAAAAATTAATTGAAAAAACTAATTTTTTTTTAATGTGACGGTCAGGGCAAAAAGTTCCGAGGCTCATGGAATGCCCTTTTTAGTTTTTTCAATTAAAAAATAAAATTTGTTATCATATACCTTTTAATCCTTTTAAATAATGCGATAAAACAATTATTGTAACCTCAAATATCTCGAGAACGGTTAATTTTATCGAAGTTTGAGAGGTACACCTTTTTAATAGTAGCCGAACTGAGTAATCGAAAAATTGCATCAAATGGTATAAAAACCTAACCTCAAAGTTTGTATGGGACAATAAGATTAAGCAACCCCTGTTTCTACGACACTGTGTTCACTCAAACAATTGTAATTATGTGTGAATATGTGTTTTGGTAGTAAGTGACTGTTCGCAAAATATCACCTTTCCAAGTCTACCATAGTAGAACACGGTTCACCGAACAACGTTTTTAACGAAAAAAATAGAACAACTTTGAAACATTTTTAAAAAAAATACTTACCAACTAAGTATTCAAAAAAAAGTAAAATGAAAATCTTCCATGTAGATCTTGGGAAATAGCGATCAATTCTTCGTAATTTATGTGTAGTATCGTATATTGCTAATATTTTAACTGTCTCAAAGTTAATATTTGTAGAATATTTTTAATTTAAAAGACTCATACGATAGTAGGAAACTTAAACTTTATTCTTCTGAATGCATTATTCAAAATTATAAACGTAAAAATTGATAAACCTTAAAAAAATGTAAAAAACAACAAAATAAATCTAAGCCTACAGATGTTGACTATTGTATGCACAAAGACATTGAATCAAAATTATATTATATTTTTCTAAGTTATTTCTGTATAAATTAAAATTCCTGGAAAATAAATTGAATGAATGATGAACTTGCTCCGATGCTTGCTTTGAGAAGAAACCAAGGGCTCTTTGCGTTTCTTCAATAAATTGAGGAACATGATAAATGAGAGTATGGATCTTTGGTGTACATGTAATTCCAGCTTTTGATGATTTTAGTTTAAATTTTTTTATGTAGTCTTTATATTCATCTGCTAAGTTTTGGCCAAAGCAGCCAGAAACTACTTGATTGAACGCCTCAAATACGGGTATATATTCATTGTCTAAAATAGAAATTATAAATCAGTAGGTAGAAAACATCCAAACAAAGCAAAGCTTATTACCTAATGACAAAGTTTTTAATACAGCAATAGACTTTAGTAGTTTTTGTGCATTATTGCCATTAAATTTGCCATAATAGTCAATGCATCCTCATCTCCGGTAATCAATGGAACATTTATACAGTTTTCTAAAAATGCAATGAACAAATTAAGATCTTACTTTGTTCATTGCATTTTTAGAAAAGGATGAGGATGTCCCAGTTTTGTTCTTTATTCCACCACCAGAACTTCACCTTATGCTGGGCATAGTACAAAAACTTTTTGATTCCCTAAACAGCAAATATCCAGAAGTTGCAGAGGCATGGGTGAAAAGTGCTGGAATCTGCTTTGACCATTATGGCAAATTTAATGGCAATAATGCACGAAAACTACTAAAGTCGATTGCTGTATTGAAAACTTTGTCATTAGGTAATAAGCTTTGCTTTGTTTGGATGTTTTCTACCTACTAATTTATAATTCCTATTTTAGACAATGGCTGCTTTGGCCAAAACTTAGGAGATGAATATAAAGACTACATAAAAGAATTTAAACTACAATCATCAAAAGCTGGAATTACATGTACACCAAAGATCCATGCTCTCATTTATCATGTTCCTTAATTTATTGAAAAAACGCAAAGAGCCCTTGGTTTCTTCTCAGGGCAAGCATCGGAGCAAGTTCATTATTCAGTCAATATATTTTCCAGGAATTTTAATTTATCCAGAAATAACAGAAAAATATAATATGAACTTGCTTCGATGTCTTTGTGCATACAATAGTCAACATCTGTAGGCTTAGATTTATTTTGTTGTTTTTTCCATTTTTGTTAAAGTTTATCAATTTTTACGTTTATAATTTTGAATAATGCATTCATAAGAATAAAGTTTAAGTTTCCTACTATCGTATGAGTCTTTCAAATTAAAAATATTCCACAAATATTAACTTTGAGACAGATAAAATATTAGCAATATACGATACTGCACATAAATTACGAAGAATTGATCGCTATTTCCCAAGATCTACATGGAAGATTTTCATTTTACTTTTTTTCGAATACTTACTTGGTAAGTATTTTTTTTAAAAATGTTTCAAAGTTGTTCTATTTTTTTCGTTAAAAACGGCGTTCGATGAACCGTGAGAAGTTATATTAAAAAAACTGATATGATAAGTAACACTTTATCACCCTGTATCTTTTAAACATACGTAATTAGGAAAAATATTTATTTAGATTTTCGTCTTATTTTGACTTGCTTAATCTGCTCCTAAATTTATGCCACTAAGTTTAGGGACACCTTGTATAAGAGGTGCGACTATAATGATTTTTATTTTATTAATAAACGCTTTTTTATTAAGAATACGAAAAAACAGCGTGTTTAATGCGTGAGAAAAGTGCCTTTTCTATCTCATGGAAATTCGATTCCAAAATCAAGATGTTTCCTCTCAATAGAAAACTCACTTTTCTTCACTCATATATAAATATAACATACTATTTTGTAATTTATAACAAAAGATTATTTTTTTCCAAAAATGTCCGTTTTTACTTCAATTTTTTGGGGAAAATAACGGGTTTTTTCGGGCAATCAATTTTTCTTAAAATTTTAAATTTCCACTCCAGTTAGGAAAACAAATAAATCGTTTTCTCTTGAAGGTGTGAAGAAAGGCTTCTTGGCGCCGCATTTACCACAGAAAAGCAACAGCCAAGGTCGGAATTCCGCGACAATTCCGCCAAGTTAACAACAACCATCGACAACAGAAACTCGCCGAGATCCAAACCGACGTTCGCGAAATCTCACAGCGACAACTCGTCTAACAATTCGTTCGAGTCGGTAGCTCCAAGACAGCTGCCCAAGAATTTCGCTCCAAACAACCAGACGACCACGATGTCGCCGCAGCAAAAAAGCACACAACTGTGGCAAAACAAAAATCCTAGAAGCAACGGCAGCGATTTCAATGCGAACTCTGGAGGCGGTCCGATGAGACAACCCAAGACGACTCCGGTCTTTAGTACGGAGAATAAAGCCAAGTTTGACGAAAAAAGTTCTCTTAATAACGAGAGAATGAATAAAAGTAGTAGCAGCAGCGGTACTAGTGATAATTCAAGGAAAAGGTTTTTTTCGGGAGATTACATTAAACAGATTGACTTGCCTCTGTTTGTACCACTAAAGGTAAGAAACATCGTATCGGGCATTTGGACTTTCAAATGCCCATGTCCCTAACAGTTCAAATCATGGACCCTACACAAGGAGTGCAAACTCCATGTATTCAAATGGCTTTTCAAAATAAGAGGGCGCTTTGTGCAAAATGAACATCAGCGCCGCTAGTGGTGAAAAAAGGATTTGTGCGATTTAGTAGGCAGGTTCTGTAAATTCCCCCCATTGAGTTAATTCTTCTTGTGTAGGGTCCATGGTCCAAATTTTGTTTCTCTAGATATGAATCGGGACAATGAACGCAGTAGCGTTGATAGAGAAAATACTAATGCTATTTCCATTTTTGAACCGCACCAAAAATTTAAAATTTGCAAAGTGTATTCTTTCAATAATTAATTTTGATACCTTAAAAATTGAGAATTTTAATCATTTTTTAAACTAGATAAAATATATTTCATTTTCCATAATAGAAAATTTTGACTAGAGATGCGACTTCAGTCCGTTTTTTTTTGTTTTTTTTCAAATGTTTTTTTTTCATATTTTAGGTTTTTTTTCAAGATTAGTCCCATTTGCCCAATTTTTTATATTTCAAGTCCAGTTCGTGGACTTAAATTAGCCACTAAATGACATTTAGTAAATGTAAATACAGTCTCTCGCTTTGCACGCGCCACCACCACCGAATTGACCAGTAAGGGCCGCGCTTGTTTTGATTTGGTCCTAAAAAAAGTAACCACCTATAATATTTTTGATTCAGCGCTTGATTTTTCAAAAAGCTACCAAAAGCACTTTTTTCATGATTTTTCAAATTCATTTAGAGTATGGAAATTCTTGTAGAACATTTATTCATTGGTGGTTAAGTCAGAACATTCTGTGGACCAAAAAAGAAAGCCATTTTCCTTGTAAACTTATAAATGTTTTAGTATTACGTTTCACAATAATATATTAATTAACGGAATGGATAAGTAAAGTATTTAGGTTTATATTTATTGGGTCGGATATTCCACGATTATAGGAAATTTTTCTCTCGACCGTCAGAAATTGTAGTTATAACAATTTGTGATTATCGTGAAATATCCTTATCTAATAAATATATACCTACCACAATAATACTTCACTAATCGATTAAAAATTATTTAAATAACCACCATAGAATCTTTAACATATCAGAAACTTAAGCTTGCCACATTTGTACCTTTAATCTGCCATATCAGAAGCTTTAGCGCGCCATATCAAAAAATGAAATGGTTCTTGTAAGTGCCTTTATTGACTGCCGTTACATGCCCATTAAAGGAGAACGCGACATAATATGTACAGTTCCATTTTTTATATCTTTTAATTTTACTCTAAACGATAACGGCAGAAATGGAATTTCCTTTTGATACGAGGTTTTGTTATAAAAAAATTATATTTTTAATACTGCAATTAAAATTATGATTTTCAATGCAATTTTCCTAATATTGCATAATATTTTGTATTGTCACTTAAAATTCTCTATTTGTATTATTATGAAATTATTTGCAAATTTTCGTGAATTATTTTTGGCTAAAATATTTGCAAATTTTAGTCAGACAAATTCTTATTTTTTGCTGGATTGGACCAATTGTAAAAAAATGTAAGAAATAGCCATAAAAAAATAAAAACTGAAAAATAAAAACATGTAAAATTTACATGGTAAGAAAGTTTTCAATTGTTTTAATGTTAAGGGAGTTGGGCTTTAAAACACATTCAAATATTATACATATTAATATTTGAGGAGTGATTTTTCAAAAGGCCTTATTTCCATTTTTACTTTAATGTAATTTTTTGACAAAATCCCAAAGGTATGGTTAAAAGGCATATATTAACGGCGAAATATGACAGCAGGTCTGAAGTATTATTAATATTCATCAGATTTTTTTTTAAATAATCTATATTGCCCTAACCAATACAGGTTATAGTCATTTTTTTGAAAAATTGTTGCAAATGGAAATACGACCTTTTGAAAAATCACTCCTCATTTGGGATACAAATATGGAAAAAGTGCATACTATCTGGTTAACTGAAGTTGCTGTTTTTTATTACTTTATTAACTTTTAGCTCAAAATTACGTGTATATATAAAGAAAACACTGCCTGGGCAACATTGGAGGATAACATCGAAATACAAGAAGATATATTGCTGAAAACTAATGAGGAAGCAAATAATATGCCCATTATTAAAGACCCTAAACTAGGTACTCTTGGTATGGCTGAATATGATGGTACATGGTAAGCAATAAACTTATTTAAAACAATACATTGCAATCATTTTATTAACTTAACTAGGTGCCGAGTTATTGTTAAGGATTCAAATCCGTTAAAGGTATATTATGTTGATTTTGGTGGGATTGGCTCTGCGGATTGTATTAAAGAGGTACCCAAATCGATAAAGGATATTGCAGCCCAGGCTATTCATTTAGTCCAATGTAAAGAGGATTCTTTAATAAAATGGGCAATAGATGATGTAATAAATGTTCAAGCTAAACAAAAGGTAATTTTTATGATTTTGTCTTGATATAAGAAGTGGGCAGTTTTATTGGCGCCTCTCCGCGGCCGAAAATAACTATCTCAGGAATTCTGAGATACTTAGATACGTAGATTATTTTATACTTATATTATTACTGTTTAGACCAGTGCAGAAGCCTTTAAAAATGGTAAAAAGAGAAAAAAAATAACAGTAGGATGAAACCCATTGAAAAAGGAGGGGAATATAATAAAAATTAAAGGAAAAATAAATTACGGGCGATCTGAGTTCGGGAAGTGGGAGGGGGGGGTTTAAGGGTAAAAAATGGTTTATCTCGATTTCCGGCAAAACTACAAGTCCTATGGAAAAAAGTTAAATGTCAAAGTTGTAGGTAATAAAAAGATCTACAACTTTTGTATTTACAATTTTTTCACATAACCTCAAAATTTATGTGAAAAATTCAAAAAACCAAGTTTTTGGTTTTTTATTTTTATCTTTTTCAAAAAAAAATTTTTTTCCACAAAATTTAGTGAAAACTTACCTTTTTATGTCCCAAATACACTGTAATTTATTTGATTTGAAATATTTATTATTTCGCCTTATTTTGACTTAATATCAAAAAAGCACCCTAATTTTCAATCGAAAATTCTCGCGTCAAAATATCAGCTTTTTTCAAAAAGTCGGTGTGCTTTTTGTTCAATGAACTCTCTACTTTCTGATGGTGTAAAAAAAATATACATTACTATGGTAAATGTTCTCAGAAAATACAAAAAATATTATAATGAATAACGTAATCAGAATGAAGTATCTAAATTCAATAGTATGATTTACATGTATTTTTATATTTTATGAGATTTTCTGACATAAATGTTATTAGAATTTAATAAATAAACTTTTTAACTAAAAAAAATTGCAACAATCACATTTTTTTGATGAAATTGTACATAATGATTAAAATAAATTTTCGAATTCGAGTTTTTTTCGTTATTCATTATAATATTTTTTGCATTTTCTGAGAACATTTACCATAGTAATGTATATTTTTTTTACACCATCAGAAAGTAGAGATTTCAACAAACAAAAAGCACACCGACTTTTTGAAAAAAGCTGATATTTTGACGCGAGAATTTTCGATTGAAAATTAGGGTGCTTTTTTGATAATAAGTCAAAATAAGGCGAAATAATAAATATTTCAAATCAAATAAATTACAGTTTATTTGGGACATAAAAAGGTAAGTTTTCACCAAATTTCGTGGAAAAAAATTTTTTTTTTGAAAAAGATAAAAATAAAAAACCAAAAACTTGGTTTTATGAATTTTTCACATAAATTTAGAGGTTATGTAAAAAAATTGTAATTACAAAAGTTGTAGATCCTTTTATTACCTACAACTTTGCCATTTAACTTTTTTCCATAGGACTTGTAGTTTTGCCGGAAATCGAGATAAACCATTTTTTACCCTTAAACCCCTCCCCTCCCACTTCCCGAAGTCAGATCGCCCGTAATTTATTTTTCCTTTAATTTTTATTATATTCCCCTCCTTTTCCAATGGGTTTCATCCTACTGTTATTTTTTTGGTTTCAAAAATTATCGACCCTGGTCTAGTTTACCATTCTTTGTTTATAATTAAAAACTATGTACTTTTTTAGTATGATTCTGGCTCCTTCCTAGTTACGTCCAAAGATTTAAGACCTAAAACATCAGAAACTAGAAAAAGGAATGATTATGTTTTGGATTTTGAGAAGTCAGAATCGAGACCGGAAAAAGCGGCGCCAGTATTGGAAGTCAAAGAGAAGGCTGAGATACAATGTTACTTTGATATTCCTGAGCCCTTGACAATTAAGGATGGTGACAAAGTGATGATTATTGACTGTGATGATAAAGGATTTATTTTAAGGACTAGGGAATTGACTGAGCGGTTCCTTGAAGTTACTCAAATGATTAATAATGTTAACAAACCAGGTATTGTTAATTTACATTTTTAAAAAATAATATTCGTAAATCGGTCAGAATCAATAAATTTAATTTAAATAAAATAATAAATAGTTTACAAGATCTGAAATATATATCTATGTTAAATTCATTTTCGATTTTTAAGTTCCAAATGAGCTACAATTTTAAATTAAGTACAACAAATTGTTAATAATTATTACATTTTATTTACTCAATTTTTTTAACATTCCAAATTCTTTTTCATCTTTTAAGTGCTCAAATTGCGAGAGCTATACAACTTTAAATTAAGGACAACAAATTGATAATTATTATTTGAATGTTTTACTTACTTTTTATTACATTATATTGGTTGCTTCTTCAAAATATTTCAACCCACATAACATGCTATGGATATGGATATTTTATGGATATACTTGATATATTCTTTTATGTGTATCCATTTGTGAATATTTTATGGATATACTGAATATATTTTTTCATGTATATTCATAAAATTGATATACTTGATACATTCGTTCATGTATATCCATAAAATGTCCATAAATGGATGTACTTGATACATTCTTTCATGTATATCCATTTATGGATATTTTATGGACATACTTTGTATAACTTTTATATAATAAATAATTATAACTATAGTATATAATTATAGTATATTATACTATAATAGTATACTATAGATTTAATTTTTTTACTGAAATTTTGAATCAGTGTAGCCATCCTTTGAAAAATCGTTTTTTCTCCACTTAAGTTCTAATTCATAAGAGACAATTTTTAAGATTTTGTTTTAATAATTAAAATATTTTTAAGATATTGAAATTTTTACATATTCATAAAAACCAAAATAATAAATTATTAAATTGTTAACAGTTTTACCAATTTACACATTTAAAAGTGTCAAATAGTTTGAAGTGTCCAAAAATGGATTGTTCCGTTGGAAAATTAATTAATGAAAAATGCCATAAAAAATATTTTTCGCCATTGAATCTTGTACTAAGGAGGAAAAGGGTTTAATAGAAAGGCGAGTGGATGCAACTGTAACCGATATTTGTACGTAGGTATCACAAATTAAAGTATCTACATTATTTTACCAAAATTTTTGGTGAAGTCTGCTGCGATCCATTAAAACGACAAAAGTCGTTAGTTTATTCCTCTTGAAAGACATTATACACATAAGAAAATTTTCCGATTCATATAATTTTTTAGAGGTAAAAAATAGTAAATACGTTTTTTTAGGTGATTGTAAAAGTTAAGAATATGACTTGTTCAGTTTATTTATCTACAGTGCTTGCAAATCCAAGTCCGACCGCGTTGGGAAGGATGGTTGTTCAATACCCGCGTGAAAAGAATAAGGATAGAATGCCAAACAGAATTTGATTGATCAGAGCGTCAGGCGTGCGTATTGTAAGCGCCTTCTGTTTGGCGTTCTATCCTTGTTATTTTCACGCGTCCCACAGTGATTCGTTTGGTCAATCTAGCGGAACAAAAATACTGTGTTTATAACTTAAACTTTTTTTATATATTAACAAAAGAGTATTTCAAAAACATACTTAAAATATGTAATTTCAGCTGTGTTATTCTTAGTTTAGTAAAAAAATAATTATGATATGAAAAAAAACAAAAGGAAAAACCATAAATATATCTTAAACATATTTGTTTTTGGATCTAATCTAAATCGTCCGTGCTTGCATAATCTGAACTTTCTGAAGTATCACTGTTATCCGTGGATTATGCCGTGTCACTTGTTGAAGGTTCTTGTAGCAAAGCACGAGCTCCGGAAGAAAAAGATTTAAAAGATTTTCTTGGAGTTTCCCGCAAACTATTTATGTATGGATCAGAAGTGTAAAACAAGAAGTTGAAAAGGTCTTGCATTGTTGCTTTGCGAGAACATTTTCTGGTTGAGGATTCTCTTAGCTTTTTGATCTCTTTATGCCTGCACTCCTGAGCTTCCTCAGACATCAAACCAATTGGAAGAATTGCATGTTTTATTATTGAAGGGCCATGAACCAATAGTTTGTGGACTGTTACATGCATACAATACCAAGGATACATTTCCAAATATCTAAAACAAATTAAAATTGCAGAAACTATTATGATAAATATTTCTTGTTACCTGTCCAAAATCTCGTCGCAGTAGCTTTTGAATCTTTCGACGTTTATCTCGTAGTTACTACTAAGAACCTCCAGCAACACAGATAATTTCTCTATCAAAGTCTCGTCTAATCCAGTTATTGATGCTGAAAGACTTGGATCTGCGAAAAAACGACAGGCCGTGTTGCCGTCATTGGTTGTTCCATAGCCCACTTTTACGATGTCAACAAGTAACCGGTTTTTTCTCGAAACTCTTGCTGAACTATTCTCTTTTTTTCTTCAATTTTTTTCTTGTTTTCAGCTCCCCGAACCTGCCATTCTAATTCTGGTATGTAAGGGAGAAACACCAAATTCGTAACTTTCAGGATTATCAGAAAAATGAAGCAAACTTCTGTCTGTCATTCATATTTTTGGGGGTACAACCGCAAATATAACATGTTTGGAAGGAAATATCCATGATTGAATTGCAAATCTTCCCGTCCACCATACAAAGGTATAGTTTGCTGTTTAGTTTAAATTCTGTTTCTGTAACGAAAATTTTAGTTGGGTATAATTCAGATATTTGCTGTTTTATTTTAGAGATCTCTGATGTTATTAAACTATGTGATTCCGATTGAAGCAATATCTTTATTGGTCTGCACCATCTTGTGCTTGAAGAGCAAGGATTCTGCCATAATATCCGTTTTTTATTGTTTAAATCAATGTTATAGAGCTGTACAGGAACTAAGCTTATAACAAATATGGCCTTATCTTCATGATTCGGAGCAATTTCTTCAGAAAAACGTTGTTTGTACGATGAGTAGCTAGAACTGCCATCGCATCCCCATTTAAAAAGCAATACAATCGGTTAAGATTATTTTTTATTGTTAACAATACTGCATTCAGCATTTCACAAAGGCGAGAAACAGTATGATTGAAAAGAGACTGCAACTTTACTTCTGCTGATATCTCTATTATTGTAATGTCTATGTCTTGAGGATAACAGCTTTTTTTAGCATCTAAAACAGCATGGTATGACGGAAATACATTACAGCATTTTCTCTTTAAACGTTTTTTAATTGTTGAATACGAGCGTTGACTCATTTTGCCGTCAAGAAAACTAGCCAAAGCTTCTTCTTTTGACATTTTTTGAATTTTATTAGGTGGACTTTTATACGCTTTCATAACTTTGCCAGCTCGTTTCGGACTAGAGCATACCATCTCCTTTAAAAGTGCCGATGCATTCCGATTACCAGCTTGGTACAAACTTACTTGAGCTGCGGTTAATATTTCATTTCCACTAACTTCCTTCAAAATAGGCCTTATTGAACGACGTTTAGACTTGTCGGAAAGATCGGTAAAAAGTTTCTTCGGGCGACCCTGAAAGGACGTTGTTGGAATATCATCGTACGTCGAAGTAGCCCCATTGTCCAGTTGCGCGAACCTTTCCCTAGTATTCAGCCAGTTCCTAAACCTAGTTAAAAACCTAGACTTAGTTCTGTTACAGTCCAACCATTTTTGATAAAACTTGTGTTCTAAATACTTTATTTGCAACGTGAGAGATTCCTCCACTTGTTTGGAAACGTGCTCAATATTAAACTGCCTCAAAACAGTCGTAAACATTATCAAACGTTTAGAGTTACGGTCTTCTTTGGTCAACCAAACATTAAACAATTCTCTTCTAGAAATGTTTCGATTATCTAAAAATAAGAATATCATGGTAAGTGGTGCCTAGTGGCACCTAACTATTACATGGATTTACAGAGGACAAAATAAGCTTTAATTATCATAAAAATGAATTTGGCACTATTTGGCACTTTTTTTGTAGGCCTAACCAAACTTTTTTACCGCATGACATTGACATATCTTTTAAAATTAATGACTTTTGCCATTACCTTTTGTAGTAATATAATAAAAATATTCAAAAACTGAATTACATACCTGTATGTATTTAGCCCATTATGAACTTTCTAACCAAAATGCTTAATTCACTGGTTACTTTGGCACCCCTACCAACCATGTCGACATGGAAAACGACATGAATGTCGACACTCGACATCGGTCACTTTTCGTCACTGCATTTGAGTCGTCAACGACATCGACTAATGACATAAATGTCGACATGTCGTTGACGACACGACTGTCGACATCGACATCGGTCACTTTTCGTCACGACATCTTTGTCGCTGACGACATCGACAAACGGTATGAATTTCGACATAACGTTGACAACACTACTGTCGCCATGTTGACGGTATAGAAAATCGTGTCGTTTGTCGATTGGAATGTTGACGTGTAGTTGATGCAATGACTCAAGGACCATAATACGTCGAGCCTAGACATTCATTGTTATCTTAATGAACCTGCAAAACAAACAAAACCAATTTACAATAGAAAATATATATATATTTATAAGATGAGACATAGTTTTCTGGAAATGAGAACAATTGTTATTTTATTACGAGTTTTAAATCAATTTTTCGAAACTTGACTCGGCCTTTCTTCATCCTTTCTTTCTTTACAGATTTTTATGTTTTTACTCGCAGACTCGCTGTTTTCACTCTCACTCTCACTGCCCTCATTTTTTGTACTACAATCATTGTCTGTACCCGACGCACTCTGACTTGTTTCATTGTCACTTTCGCTTCCGTTGTTTTTTTCGCTGTCTTCTTCTTCGTCTTCGCTGATTTGTTCCACTGCATCTTTGTTACTCCCGTCGGCGCTTTCTGTGCACAGAAAAGATGCATGAGATTCAAGAAGTCATGACTTCTTGAATCTCATGCATCTTTTCTTGTATCTCAAGCTTGTTCTCTTTCTTCTCTCGAGCACCTTGTCCATTTTTGTGTTTTTTTTTCTCTTCCTTTATTATTTTGTTGTAGTCTTTTTTAGCTTCTTTGTAGACAGTATTTTTTCTCCTCTTCATCGAATCCTTCAAC